CCCATTCATCTGTTTAAGTTAGCTACGTCAGACCACCTGCGCAGGGCATCGCCTGAAGCTCAAACAACATTAGACTCGTTTGGACATTGGGACGAAATTTTGTACGAACCGAGTAGTTAACATCGCGAATAAACTTTATGCTCTAGTGGAATGTGCGACTAGAAGCCTTCAAATGGGGATTTGATAAGTGTTAGTCTGACATTTTTCAAGAGATTGTAATTCTACTGGAACATGGAGTGTATTCTGATGCTGACACATGAAAGTGCAATGATTGCTCTTGTTTTTGCCTCCTATTGCAGAAGCAAGAAGAGTTGAAACATCGGAAGTTGTTCGCTTCCCGGGACAAGAAACAGGACGCTCGTTAGGCGAAAACCTCCATCGTCTGTGGTTTTTGACCTGAACCCATCAGTCAAGTATTCCACTTGTCTCTAAAAATCGGTCTACTCGTCGACTGAAAAACAGGTATCGTGAGGCGAAAACAAAGACGGGAACCCTCAAGATCCAATGAACTATCGTCCTATTTGTTTGACATAGATAGTCTGCATGGTCATAAGAAAATGCTTATTAAACGCACTGTCCAGAAGCACTGTAACGAATTGAATACCACATCCTCGACACAGCATGGATTTCAGCAGGGACGCTCTTGCTACTCGCAAGAGAAAAGTGGACAAGATCAATCGATGCCATTCAGCAGTTAGATATTGTCTTCGTCGACTTTAACGAAACATTCGATAAGGTCCCTCATCAACGGCTACTCTGCAAGCTCCGCGGAATTGATGTCAGTGGTTCATAGGTTCATAGGATTGTAGAGAGCAGGAGAAATCCTTTGTCAGCTCCATCGCTTCCCGATCATTGTGTGGAGGCCGCGATTTGACGTTAAGAGGTAATCCACAAGGGACCGTGACAGCTTCACTGGAAGCTACAAGAGCCCATCGTACTCAAAAGAAAAATATCTAACATTCGCTTGAAATATTCCTCAGTCTGGGCATCGACCACATGGCAAGCTTTACTCCTGGATCGCAGATTTTCTAGACGGAAGAACCATGTAAGGGTAAGCGAGACACCACCGCCAGGGCACATGACCAGTGGAGTTCCGCAAGTTCTTCATAAACGACCTTCCTTGATTACTTCAAAATGGATGTCTAATTTGTGCAGCTGACCTTAACCTATGGTCTGAGGTACCCGACTTTGATGCCGCTGATAGAGTACAGGACTCGCTTGATCTACTGTACCAGTGGTCCATCAAACGGGACTTACCCTGTCGACTCGTGTGGTGAACGATCTCAACACCTTGCCTGATTCCATCGTCAACGCGCATACTGAAGAATGTTTTAAACGATTGTTGGATTTATACTTGTTGAATTTGCATGGATTTTGTTTCTTATGCAACCGTGACAACCTAACTTGTTGACTGCTGTTGCGCAACAACCTGCCATGATTGGAAGGTGATAGAGCTGACAAAGATTCTTTCAGTCGCAAACACAATACAAGCAGAAACACAGACATATTTATACATGGGAAAGTATTGGCACACCAATGAAACTGTTAAAATCAAGACCAAGGCATTCTGATTGATTGCCTCAAGAGTTCATCCAAGAGCACAGCAAACCCCCCAAGAAGAAACTGCCAGTGCAAACGGCAGAGAAAAAGGCTGTTTATTTGGTTTTGCCGTTTAAAGGGGACTATGTGGCAAATGACATAGGACACAAGCTCAGGTCCGCCATAAAGCGCACATACACCACTGCCCAATTGCGCCTCATGCACACTATCCGTAAACTGGTTCTTCAGGACCGTCAGAGCTACCCTTCGGCTAGTTCGGCCTCTCATGTGGTTTATCACTTCACCTGCAGTTGCGGTGATGTTCACATAGGCAAGACTAACCGTCGGTTGGCTCAGAGGGTGGCTGAGCACCTGCAAAAGTGGGTTGAACAAATGATAGCGCAACAGTACGGAACGCCCCACAGAACGAATCGGAGTCCGTCATCATCTATCACCAAACACCTCTTGACAACTGATCACTATGTGAACCCCAATAATGCGTTCAAGGTGTTATTACGTAACAGGAACCCGAAAAGGTTAACAATCAGTGAGGCGTTGCTAATTAGCGCTTATCAACCTGTGGTATGTGCACAGAAACTCTTGAGGCAATCAGTCAGATTGCCTTGGTCCTGCTTTTGACAGTTTCATTGGTGTGCCAATATTTTCCCCTGTATATAAATGTGTCTGTGTTTCTGCTTGTATTGTGTTTGCGACTGATGAGAACAATCGAAATGTTGACATATCGCAAAAAAGATTCTTTCTTCTACTCTCTATATTCCAATGATCCAATACTCGTTAATTATGAAAAATACTGCGTCCTTCTAATAGGTGCGTCTGCGCCACTCGGTACTTACCATATCCGTACTTTCCTTCTCACGAATACTATTCAACGGAAAGACAGGTGTAATAATTGCCTCTAACCTAAAGATCGCCCAGGATACGCTGATTAGAGTGACCGCTGCTAACAGCATGTGCTACGCCATAAGGTCATTTTCCCAAAGGACACCGGATGTCTTCAGGACTGTTTATTTTTCACGTACGCCCAATCATTGAGTATGGCTTACCAGCTGTCTTTCCACTCTCAAAATTTGAATGTACCCTGATTGAAAAGGTCCAGAGACGTAGCACAAAGTTTCTCTGGACTTCGGAACCTCCTACCCCTTTCGGCTCCAGCAGATGGACCTTTTCTCCCTTGTCTACCGTCGCGGCCGCGGTGTTCTCATCTTCTCCAGGCGCATTTTAAGGGCGGGAACTTGGAAACAAATTACAACAATTTTTCCAGCTCAATACAGGTTCGACAAGAGGTCACGGCTTGAAACTTTTTAAACCGAGAAGGCTCCATGTTCACTGCTGTCGCTCTATCCACCTGGGCGATAAACGACTGGAACCACCTTCCGGAGAACGTTATCAGTGCACAGTGAAGAAGGTTCCGAGGGGCCCTTAGATTCCCACTTGCGCTGTTCTACTGTGACTGCCGCAGCCCACCAGGACTGCTGATCGCAATTACATGCTCCTGTCCTGAACCCGAGGGGTTGGGGCTGACAAGAGATCTCCCTCTGCCCTCTACAACTCAAAGAACATTATGCTCGCGAAATGTTTGCGTAGTCGGTGCACTAGATTTCGGACGCGACTCGATCCTTTCTTTGTACAAATGTCTTCCAGCTTTCATTGGTGTGTAGAGAGTAGGAGGGGACACCTGTCAGCTTCTTCAAATCCGGATTCAGTTGCAAGTTTGACGCAACTGGCTGCGAGGCGGCATTTCTCTGGGGATCGTTGCCGTTGCATTAGGAGCAGTAGAACCCTGCCATACTCATTAAATGGCAGTCTGGCAACCGTTCTTAAACTTTCCTCTATCGGTAGGCCGTTCCAATCATTTCCTTCACGGGTTGATAGAGCAGCCTCTGGAGGAACGTGGAGTATTCGACACTTGTACAACTTCCAATTGTGACCTCTTGTGGAGCTGTCCACGCTGAGCCGAAAGTGTTTCGTACTTCACTCCCAAGTTCACTTATGATCCTTCGGGTGTATATAAGATCTCCATCACGCTGACGATAATCCATGGGAAATAAGCTGTTTTCGGAGTCTAAGAGGGTATGCAAGATCTCCAAGCTTCATGACAGATTTCGAGCTTTGCTCCCTCGTTGAATCAGTTTGGTTAGCGGTGCTGTAGTTTGTGCCCGGTCGAGGTTTTCGAGGGCATACATAGTGCTTGATAGACCAAGGTGGCTGAACTGCAAAACAGATGATGTGTACTTGGCTGGATAATTTCATCACAACCATCAAGATTCGGAGCTGGATGGGGGATGCGCCTTACTTACCTCGTGGCGAGTTGGATGCCGGTGTCACAGCTGCCAATAGAGGATCTGGTCTGAGTTCAGTGCATGGATGGCAGGAATACACAAGGAAGATGGCTGTTGTAACGACGCCAAAAACGAGTTGGGAAGGAAACGATAGGTCTGAGCTAGGCTCGACGACATTTCTCCTGTTGGCTTGCTGCAAAGACAATTTCTGTTGTGCTACAGTACAATTCCTAGTACCGCAGTCTTTTGGCTGTTGTGTTCGTGCCCACACACTGGTGCACATACACGGTTCGCTTGAAGCAACGCTCAGCACAGCTAGCGTTTCATCTGCCTACATTTATGTGTCCATCAAGGAGTTCCCATGAGATTTACCAATAGTCCAATCATGGTCATACTAAATTATTTTAGGCTTTTAGTCCGCCAAAGTTTAGCACTAGCTTCTGGTCTAAACATCATGTACTGTTGGCTGTTTTCAGCCTTTGGTAGGCTGACTTATTTTTGACTGAGTCTATACCCCGTCAAGATAAACCGTTTTGCTTCTGTTGGGCAGTCGAAATGCGCCAGAAATTGATCACAATGAGCCACTTTTCGTTTATTCTGGAAAACAATCCGCTTCATACATATACTTCATTTTTCTGTTTTCTAACATCACATTTCTAAGTGACAGTTAAAGCTGTCATGTGTTCGTTCGGAAGGTGCGGCTCTGACGTTTACTGGTCGAACGCATGAGCATGTTCTGATTAAGCTACTCTTGGTGGCCACTGTAAATCCGAATGAGGTACTACAGAAGAGGATGAAAATGGAATTATGTACGCAGGAGCGCTGCACATTTGTTCTGCTTTTTCTCTGAGTGACTAAAGCATTTATTTCCACTACTTTTGGCCACATTTCTATTTTCCATCAAACACAATAGAGCTGTGATAGCAGAGTAGTCTCCGCGTCGGCTTGACCCGCTTGCTCTTCAACGCTAGTTTAAGTCGCATGTCAACTTGTTATATTTTAGTGGCGAACGCATAGGTGGTTACAAGCGATTTGGATCTTGCAAATTTTCGAGGGAGTTCGTCTCAGCTGCACTCGGTCCGACCCACTGCTCATGCGGGATAGCACTAAACGACCGCTTCGTCCTTTCGGGAACTGTAGCTGTGACGAATCCCCTTCGAAATGCAACTAAACTCCCTGCTTTTTCTGCAAAACCGTCTACTGTCGTCCATACCTCACACACACAGCGCTAATGTAAGTAAGCATTATTTCTAACGAATTCTACCCTCATATCCATGTTCATTTGATGTATTAACCTTGAATGACATCATCGAATTGGATTCCTCTGCCATCAGATGTGACTGGCTTCTCACATTTACTGATTTTATACTATCGGTTGCATCTACATTCTTTTCCAATTACTTTACTCTGATCTACATTTTCAATGGATAGTGTTCGCTTTGAAGCCTTACACCGTTTTAGCTACTTTTTATCCTATCGTGTGCGCACTAATTGCAACTTTTTAATCGCTTTCTTTTGTCATGCAGTTTGTAGCATATTCGCTGTGGTGATGACTTGCGCCCATGCCGATGCTTTCTTCACCCAGAAAACGAACGCAGCGGCGTACAAAGCCATTATCAATCATGTCACATTCCCTTTGTCAGAAAAAGGTTTCAAACAAAAGGTGAGTATCCGACTTGACCTGGCGTCACTATTGGACTTTGATTTCAATTATATATAATATCGCATTGTAAGGTGATGCCGAGAGCGGTACAACCTAGCATTAACGCAGGTCGACGCAAAAGACCTGGTAACTTTTTAAATCTACTTTCTGTTCTCTACTGTGAAATTTTTCGATCAGGTTTGGTATCACGTCCTCTTTCGATTACTTACATGGAACTTTGCTAAGCCCCTACTTATACGCGTTAATGATGGAAAGCACTTGGTTCCTCCATGTGGGACCAAGCAATTGTTTAGGTGTTCCCTCTTGAGTAGGTCACTGTGGCGACGTTCGACAGCATACTTCAGTATAGGTCTTCAACAGAGCACCAGTGTTAGTCTGCTGTGCTTTTCGCGTGAACAGGTGAAGCTCACCTTGCACCCATTATGACACCGAAAGACGAATAAAGTGGTGTACATTTGAGTCACTTCCAGTGCGCCTGTATGCATTGCAGCTGTCGACTGATCAGAAGTGCAGACAGGTCAGGTCAGATCTTCAGGGGCAAAACAGATTTTCGCCTAACGGGCGTCTCGTTTTGTTTGTCGGTAAGCAAGTCAAAGCCTCCGGCACGTCTACCTTCAAGCTTCATTACTGCAAACAAAAAGTGTAAGCGGGACGTCTCGTAACTTCATGGAACTATTCATGATATCCTATTGGTACCAATTGGAATCCACTAATCTCAATGCAAATCCAAAAACGGAGTTCTATAGTATTACATTCCACTAGTGCAGCAGGAAGTAGACTCCAACTACGTACTACGCGGTCAGTGAAAAGCTCCCGGATATCCAGTCTGGACGTATCCGTTTTGCGCTTCAGTTGGCGTTCCCACAGGTGGTCCGACGTAGCTACTTCAAGAGATCGGCAGGCTTAATGCCACAGACCCTTCATAGTCTTAAACGTCAGGTCTCCTCTTAGTCTGCGTCGTTCCAATGAGGATAAGCCTAGACAATCCAGCCGGTCAACATGCGACTTCTGACACTGGCCTTCAATCATCCTGGTGGCTAGTCTTTTACCTTCTTTAAGTAAGCGACATCCTTACAAAACCAAGGTGTCCAAGAGTGAATACAATACTCTAAGTGCAGCCGAACCACCGCTTTGTACAACGGGAGAAAGACCTCAGGTCTAGTACTATCCGACGCTCTCCTGAGGTGAAACAGTTTCTGCCGCACACTATTAGCAGCATATTGGCACTGCGCCGAGGGCCTGAAACTGTCTAACATAACGATGCCTAAGTCCCTCGTCTTATCTACACACTGCAATGTCAGAGCCCCTTGGATATTTGCACCGTAATCCCCACGTTGCTGGATGATAACAGCGGACATTTGTTCGCGTTCAGTGGCAAGTCCCATGATTCAGACGTATCCCTATCTCTCCTGCTGACAAGCTTTACCCCATCCGCGTCTGCTGTCGTCTCCTAATCGGATTGTCTGTTTAAAGTGTGTTTGGTGCTGAGTTATCTGCGGGGTAATGGCTGATTATGACGCGTGGCAGTGAAAGCCGCAACAGTCTGTCTCGCCGATGCCGCCTTATCTTTGCACGATAGTCAGCTGTTTGTGACAGTATGTTGTCTACACAAGGTGTAGGCGCCTTGACCCTGAATATTTGCTTAGGGCATTAAGGTTTTCAGGTAAGTCCCCCTTCTCTCCCTCTTCTTATTCTTTATTTCATAGGTCCTCATGGTTGTATGGCAGCGAAGCATCAGTTCAAATGGCTGATGCACTGCTGTTGATGATGATCATGATCCGCAAAAACATAACCGTGATTCTCGAGGAGTGGAGCTTGATCATTTATATACGTAAGAAACAATAACGCTCCTAGCACTAAACCCTGGGGGGGGGGGCTCCGCCATGACCAGGGCCCCTGCTAGATCTGGCTTCAGATCTGACACTGAACTTTCTGCTACAGAGGAAATCCGACAGTCAACTCATCAGTTGTGGATGCAACCCAAACCAATTCAGTTTCTCTAGTAAAAAGCGATGATTAACCGAGTCAAATGCTTTACTGAATTTCAAGTAGCAGACCCCACTGGAATCCTGATATCGAGGCGTCGGGTTATTTCGTCCAAGAAGCACAACAGATTGGTAAGATTTTGTTAAGGCTTTCATCCCAGTAGTTCACAAGTTACATAACAGCCTAGTCTGGAAAAGCGCGAGACGCGTTTCGCCCTGTTGGGGCTCGTCAGTGGTGCGCGTTCCCTCGGTCCCCTACTGGGGATCGAACCCATGACCCTAGACACAGGTGTCAACTAGCCAGCAGCTTAAGCCACAGAGACATGGGGGACGTTGGCTGAGCTACATAATTTGCAAGCTAACTGGGATATAGCACCACCTATCTTCGTAAGACACGACTTCTTTCTAACGAAACCATGATGTTCCGCTCAAACCAAGTTGTTAACAACTAAGTGCTCCCAAATTTGGTGTCTAATGCGCTTCTTCAGACACTTAAGCAGACTACTTGTCAGATTGGCTAGCCGATACTTAAGTGGCGCAGATTTGGAGCCCCTTTATGAATCACAACGACAGTCGACTCTTTTCAGTCATGTGGTACCCTACCTTCCCGAAGAGAACAGTTGAACTGGTTTAAGACGGGATACTGTAGAATATCTGTGAGCGCTTTAACAATCGCTGGATGTACATTGTCAGGACCTCCGATTTATAGGGATTTAAGCCGGCCAACACCTCACGGACCTCTAATGTGGTTATTACAACGTCTTGCATTTCATTGTCACATGAGAAATGTGACTGCGAGGCGATTGCACAACCACTGTCCACACGGTAGAAGTTTTTAATGATACGCAATAACACCGCCTTTGCTGCATCCTCCACAACTTCACTATTATCCTCTTTAGTCAGCTTACCAATTCCCTCCCTCAAAGCACCTTTTGCTTGTACATAACCAACACAACTAGATTTCTTTTTGCATTTTGAGCTAATTTGAGCTCATAGCGATATTTAGCTCGCCTCTGCAATTTGATTGCTCTATTCCGATATCGTTTAATAGTATATCCATTGTCTGAAGCCTCCAACAACTATTGTGTCTCCGAAGCATTCGGGCAATTTCACGTCGCAACCAGCGGAGCTTATTCCTGCTTCTATCGGTGCGCATCCAGCAATTGCACGAGGCCAGACTTAAGTATGCCCCAGCTTTGTTCTTACGTTACCTGTTCTTGAGCAGGAACCCAAAAGAGCTGGAGAGCTCTGTTTCACAAACGGCTAATACCGATTCGGACAAACTTTCTTACAAGTCGAGGTTTCAATGCTAGCTTCTTAACATTCACCGAAAAGGTAAGGACACGGTGATCGCTTTTACCTATGGGCGCCTTCGCATGCATCTCTGTTACATGGTCATGCCTTGCGATCACAACATCTAAAGTGGAGCGGATAGTCCCAGTTCGACTTCTTGTTGGAAGGACAACTTGTTGGACGAACGCATTCTTGTGTACCTAGTTAACCAATTCCCACTCCAAAGTATCTGCCACTTTGATGAAATGCTCTCAGTCTGCATGCGTATGATCTACGTCACCAAGTATAACAAAAGAAATTGTTAGAGTAAAGGTTCGTTGTATCGCGTGGGTAGAATACTGTCAGGTTGCCCAGGCAGGGACCCACCCCTGCGCTAATGCCTTGTGGTGATAAGCTAGAAGTCGTTCAGGAATTCAAGTATAGCAAAAGCTCGAGGTGCTTTTGCCATTCTTATGGTGCCACTTGTGGCGCAGACGCGACCTTACTCTTGCCCTGAAGGACAGAGTTTATAACGCACCCGTCCGTTCAATTCTCCTATATGGTTGTGAAGCCTGGCCCATCAGGTCGACAGACATAAAGAGGCTCGTCACATTCGATCATCGCTGCCTTCGCAGCTTAGCTCATGTCTGGTGGGAGCACCGCGTGAGCAATGAGCGTGTTCGGCGTCGCGTATTTGTTGCAGGAAGGGCGAGTGAACCGCTCAGCACCATTATATCACGCACCGTGCTCTGATGGCTGGGCCATGTGTTGCGCATGCTAACACACCGACTTCCGCGACATACATTATTTGCGCGCCGGGATTGCGATTGGAAGAGAAGCGGAGGAGGCCAAGCGATGACTTGGTCGAGAGAGATGAAAACCCTCACTTGGAAGTTGGCGTCGGTTAGTGCATCCCGACTGCCTGGCTGGGGTCCTAAGGACGATGAACACGTTTGGTTGGACACACTTGCTGATATGGCTAGGAGCCGGACCCAGTGGCGTTTGTGTTGTGAGTTCGTTTGTCCATCCCCTCCTGCTTAGCCTCTCCCTCCATTCACGATCGCATTCGTTAAGCATAACATAAATTTTTGCGGCACGATAGCCAGCTGTTAGCTCTTCGGAACGATGTCCATCCGTCACTGGGTACTCAGCCGGCGTGCCACTGTTTGTTTTCCTTTTCTTGTCTTTTGTATTGCGGCACAATAGCTGAGGTGTTTTCCACCTGCAGCTAACCTCTATAATAATGATGATAATGAAGTATAACAAAATTCGGTGCAGCAGCTGCCGCCTGCTTTAAGTTGTTGTTGAGCTCCTTGTCCTCAACTCTCATGGAGGAAATGCTACGGTACACACAGACGAAATTTTCCAACCTGCCATCTACTCTCAAAAAGCAAGAAACAGCCTGAACATTCGACATTGCCATAGAAAATATAGCTTCCCAGTGCTTGTGGTTGTTTTTAACGAGCAGAAGCATCCCTCCTCCAACGTGTTGCCCGGATCGATCAACTCTCTGGCTCGAGGAATCCACCAATAAGTCACTAACTTGATCAGTGGATGACATCCAGGTTTCAGTCAAAGCGACAACGTCGGTGAACATGCAACGCAGCGTCAACACTTCTCATTTATCCTCGACGCCACAACATTTAGTGTACCATACTTTCAGACCCCCTCTCTGAAGCTACCTCTAATCAGCGATTCTTTATAGTTCTCCTCGGACGCAGAGTCCGAGTGGACAGCCCGTTT